CGGTCCTCCTCTACATACATGGCAAATGAGGTATGAAGCCTTCAAGAGCTCACATTCTAAAAAGAGAAAGAACAGACCCTGGGAGGCTGTGGGATTTACCACCTGATGTGCTGTAGACAGGGGTTGTGGCAATCAAGGAATATTGGTGTGCATTTTATAGCTGAGAATATTTCTAAGACTAGAGTCACACTTAGTGTTTCATGAATGGGCGTATTTTTGTGCTTTTTTTTTAATTCTCAGCTAAAGTCATAGGGCGATCCATTAATTTCATGAGGCTTGCCAAACGCATTAAACATGCACCAAAGGAGCTCATGTACCATTTTTGCCATTTAGCTTAGTGCAGGTTTTGACTTGTGCAAAAACACACATCTGGTTGCCATTTTTGGTACCATTAACAATAAATATCACGTGACGTGTGACACGCATTGTGCATGTTCACGAAAAACGCTCAGCTGTGAATGCAGTCTAAGGCTGGCCATAGATGGAGGAAACCAAATGGATTCCTCTATCTACAAAAATGAGGTAAATGGGGGGAATTCTCCGTACTGGGACATTGTCTCTGACTGGGGAACTCTCCACTGTCAGAATACACTGAGCAGCAGCTGCAATGCATTGTCTGCAGCTGCTGATCAAAAACACTTTTCAACACTTGTTTCACAGAAGTCGATCGGTAGATCAACTTCTGTTGAGCAGGAGTGGCCACACATAGATGGAAATTCGGCTGGTCCCTACTTAAAGCTTAAACCCACCATTTTTCCTGATATTGGAGGGTTTTAAATGACTATGGAGCTGCATTGTGTGTAAATGCTACTTTGTTGTCTGGAAGCCATAAAAGGAGGGCTTGTTAACTTGCCTCTCAGTGTATTCAATTATATGCCCTGCGTGACAAGCAGATATGCCAGAATGCAGCCATGAGCATAATTTTCAGCAACGATGAGCTTCCATGTGAAAGTGAGCCAAATAGCTTTACGGCCACCTGATCACTTTTACATGGCTCACACCCCACCAGGCTCTCTCATTCTACTGGGGAGCCCAGACCTCTGCAAACTGTCAGGCTGGCTGCTGATAGAGGAGGAGAAGGAACATCCTATACTCCCCCTCCTCTGTGACTAAAGAAGCGGGAATCCTCACCTTCATTTTGGTTCTTTATTTACTGCCCATTACCGGCCAGTGAAGCAAAGGGGTGTATTTACCACAAGGCAAACAAGGCATTTGCCTAGGGCAGCATTTTTTTAGGGGGGCAGCACTGCCCCCTGGAAGAAGGGACATATAGTGGCATGGAGACCATTTGAGATCCGAGAGAGGCTGTGGGCTGCTTGGTGGTGTATGCAGAGCCCAGCTGTTGTTCCTGGGGATGGCCAGAGTTGCTGATGGGGGGCAGTCAGAGTGTCACCAGGAGCACGTTTGCAGCATGGAATGAAGTTTTGAATCACTGTGTATTGAACACCATTTTCCATGTGCACACTTTTTAACAATTTTTAGACCATTGTCATATTATTATCTATATATTTATATAATTGTTTCACATAAAGTCCTCCTGCGCTCTTATGGTAAGTGGTGGATAGAGAAACTAAAAAGCAGCCAGCATCTATCCCGCACCAAAAAAGGGTAATATGAATAGAATATAAAGTTGATGCAGCGCTAAAAAACTAAAGACAAAATATAATATATATCCGGATAGTAAAATAAAAATGATAACATGACCCAGGATCGCCTGGGGATACAAAAAACAATAGCCCTTATAAGACTAATAGCAGTGATAAGTGGTTTAAGTGCAGGCTAAGGTGTCCATAATTCATACAGGGGTGTAAGTGAATCACAGCACACTCCAAAGAAGGTGACCCCGGGCAGTCTTGCTGCAGTGGCCTCTCACCTCCACTCCACGACCCTACAGGGCCATAAAGCGTAATGTAGATCACCACGAAATCCTCCAATACGGACTCTTTAGATGTATGAATGAACAGGGACAGGTTTCCTCCAAGTCAGTGGATGAATAGAAGGCACTCTCCTCCGATATCACAGCCGCTCATATGCCCATAAATGAGGAGATAAACATAATCCTCATAGTGTATTACCGCTGAACACAGATCCCGCTCTTTCAACACTCGCGCGCTATTCTCATTGTTACCTTGTATACACATGAGTGGGATTATCTAATTATTTTCACTTTATCTGGTCAGCCATTAGGTGGCATAACATGAGTTTGTTTTTGGCACGTATTTAATTTAGGCACTATATAAAAGCATTGGTTCCATTTATGTCACATTATTCATTCCTAGGGGATTGAGTGTTTTATTCACATGATTTATTCACATTGGATTTAATAGATCATATGTTGTTTAGTATTGATTATTGTATAATTTCTGTTATACTCATAGCTGAGCGCTTCATCACATTTTTGGGTTTTTCATATGTCCCGTGGTATAAGGAATAGGTGATAGTAGCTAGCATTTCAGTTAGATACTCTGTGGCAGGGGCGGACTGACCATTTGGAAATTTGGAGGGCCTGGGGTCAGTAGGGGGCCCCATGAGATGCCCCTGGTACTTTTTTCATAGGCTTTTTTGAGTTTGGGCAAGGACACAGGGGCCCCATGATCCCCTATTGCCCGGGGGGCCCCATGAGTTGTCAGTCCGCCCCTGCTTTGTGGAGCGCAGGAGGACCTCTGTTTATTTATTAGTTGTTAGTGGAAGGCTCTCTTGGGGGCGTCCAATTTCTGTTTTGCCTAGGGCAGCACAAAACCTAAATACACCACTGGGGAAGCAGCCAATCAAACCAATCTCAATTTGATCGGCTGCTTTGGCGGGCAGAGGAGGGATCGGAGTCTAACAAACTCCTGATCTCTCTATAAACAGCACATGCCACTGCCCCAGTTATTGAAAGGGATGCTGTTTAACCCTTGCGATAGCAATAAAGTTGAATTAAAAAAACCTAAAGAAAAAGTGTAAAACAAAATGAAACAACATAAATAAAAAAAACGTAAAGCACCTGTCTCCCATGCTCTCACACTAATGCTAATGTACACGTAGGTCCTGCATACATTATATTGCCGAAAGTATTGGCCCCGCCCTCCAAATCATTGGATTCAGGTGTTCCAATCACCTCCATGGCCACAGGTATATAACATCAAGCCCCTAGGCATGCAGACTGCTTCTACAAACATTTGTGAAAGAATGGGTCGCTCTCAGGAGCTCAGTGAATTCAAGCGTGGTACCATGATAGGTTGTCACCTGTGCAATAAGTCCATCTGTGACATTTCCTGGCTACTAAATATTCCACGGTCAACTGTTAGTGAGATTATAACAAAGTGGAAGCAACTGGGAACAACAGTAACTCAGCCACCAAGTGGTAGGCCACGTAAAATGACAGAACGTGGTCAGCGCATGCTGAAGCACACAGTGCGCAGAAGTCACCAACTGTGCAGAGTCAATAGCTAAAGACCTCCAAACTTGGTGTGGCCTTCAGGTTAGCACAACAACAGTGCATAGAGAGCTTCATGGAATGGGTTTCCATGGCTGAGCAGCTGCATCCAAGCCTTACATCACCAAGTGCAATGCAAAGTGTCGGATGCCGTGGTGTAAAGCACGCCGCCACTGGACTCTAGACGCTTTCTCTGGAGTGAGCAATCACACTTCTCTGTCTAGCAATCCGATGGACGTGTCTGGGTTTGTCAGTTGCCAGGAGAACGGTACTTGCCTGATTGCATTGTGTCAAGTGTAATGTTTGGTGGAGGTGGGATTATGGTGTTGGGTTGTTTTTCAGGGGTTGGGCTTGGCCCCCTAGTTCCAGTGAAGGGAACTCTTAAGGCGTCAGCATACCAAGACATTTTGGACAATTTCATGCTCCCAACTTTGTGGGAACAGTTTGGGAAGTGGTGTTGCTGCTGAAACGTGTTGGATACTTTTATACGACATTTGTGCCAACAATTAAAATAATCTTAGACTCTTTTATCTGGTTTTGGTCTAACGCTGTAGTTCTACGGTGTGAGTTATGTTGGGTGGCCATCACGGAAGCCTGACTGTGTGGGAGCTGCCTTACCAGTGCTATTGAGCTTTTTTGATGTTTTCCTTCATCTGACTACACATTCAAGTCTGAAGGTTCCCAATGCCTCTTCAAATACGTTGTTCTAGACAAACAAAATAACACAAAGGGCGCAAATGCCTAATGCACTATCCACAGCACAGTTCCTGTACGTCAGCCCGCACCGATGGCTCGTGCACGGCTCACAGAGTGCACACCTTGGAGCCCAGTGATCAGTGCGTCACCCGGACACAGCGGATCACATTACCGATGTGTTCGGGCGATCACATTACCGATGTGTTCGGGCGATCACATGATGTTTTACCATGTGACTGCTGTGACCAATCACAGCACTCACACAGTAAACACTGGAAGCTGAAAGTAAAGATTGCTTCTTTTTGCTCTCAGTGTGAGAGCAGAGAGAAGCGATCCTGCAGTGTGTGAGTGTACAGCAGCCTGTCAGGCCGTATGTACATTCACATTCTGCAGTGCCAGCCACCCCAGTGCCCCTGTGTCCCTAAACACTGCCCCACAATAACAATAATAAATAACAATTCAGTGAGGCCCTGTCACCTGTCCCAGTGTTCACAAAACACCCCCGTTCACCATACCAGTGTCCTGATCACCGCCATACCCCAAACCAACACCCTGATCACTGCAATATGCCATACCAGCGTCCTGATCATTTCCAGACACCATACCAGCATTTTGATCACCGCCATACCCCATACCATCACCCTGATCACCACCATGCCCCATACCAGCATCCTGATCACTGCCATACCCCATACCAGCATTCTGATCACCGCCATACCCCATACCAGCATTCTGATCACCACCATACCCCATACCAGCATCTTGATCACCGACATACCCATACCAGTGTCCTGATCACCGCCATACCCCAAACCATCACCCTGATCACTGCAATATGAGATACCAGCGTCCTGATCATTTCCATACATCATACCAGTGCCGTGATCACCGCCATACCCCATACCAGCATTCTGATCACCGCCATACCCCATACCAGCATTCTGATCACCGCCCTACCCCATACCAGCATTCTGATCACCGCCATACCCCATACCAGCATTCTGATCACCGCCATACCCCATACCAGCATTCTGATCACCGCCCTACCCCATACCAGCATTCTGATCACCGCCATACCCCACACCAGCATTCTGATCACCGCCATACCCCATACCAGCATTCTGATCACCACCATACCCCATACCAGCAACTTGATCACCGCCATACCCCATACCAGCATTCTGATCACCACCATACCCCATACCAGCATCCTGATCACCGACATACCCATACCAGTGTCCTGATCACCGCCATACCCCAAACCATCACCCTGATCACTGCAATATGAGATACCAGCGTCCTGATCATTTCCATACATCATACCAGTGCCGTGATCACCGCCATACCCCATACCAGCATTCTGATCACCGCCATACCCCATACCAGCATTCTGATCACCGCCATACCCCATACCAGCATTCTGATCACCGCTCTACCCCATACCAGCATTCTGATCACCGCCATACCTCATACCAGCATTCTGATCACCGTCCTACCCCACACCAGCATTCTGATCACCGCCATACCCCACACCAGCATTCTGATCACCGCCATACCCCATACCAGCATTCTGATCACCGCCCTACCCCCCACACCAGCATTCTGATCACCGCCATACCCCATACCACATGATCGGGACCTCGTACAGAGGTCCCGTCCGACGATCGGTGTTTCACTGTGTCCGGAGGGAGCGCGCACAAGCAGGGTGCGGGGAGGCCGTTTATAAACGGCCACCCGACCCTGCAGTGCCATCGTCCGGCCGTTTATATGCAACAGCTGGTCGAGAAGTGGTTAATCCAACATGTGCAGGAATAACCTATATTGGTCGCCTAGTGTCCAATATGCAAGGATTATGGCCCCACTGGATATTTCCTGCTGTGGTCAACAATACAAATAATAATGATCATCAGCTTTCTCTTTAGTGTATACACAGTGACGGGAGGCCCATTCAAGTTCGCCATTTCTTGCCATATGTATACTCTTGCGATACCTTCCTTCTATGGTGGCCACTGTTGGAGCCACTTCTATGTTGGAGCTCACACCACTGTTATCTGGAACACAGGTGGGCTCCACCTCCCAGTACCGAAATTTCGGCTCCGGAAGTGCATCATCCCCATTTGGCTCCAAACCCTGAAACACTAATCCTGTCACCAATGATCATGGAATGTACCTATAAATTGAATAATATGTTTACATTTTACAAATATGATATAAAGTACTATAATATACTAAATTATATTAAGCCCTAAAAAGGAACCAATCTCCATGTTACTTAAATGTTACACTTTAATCTGCCGTTTGTTTATTGTTTGGATCTTTGGGGTGGGTATGCATCTTTCTGACCCCTCCCTTCTCCCCCTTCCCTTCGGTGGGAGGGATCAGAGATAAGTTTTCTCTATATTAAGGAGTGGATGGGAAGTTCAGACCTGTTTTGTTCTGATGAAGGGAGATGGTCCCTCGAAACGCGTCAACTGGTAATATGAAATCCATTTGAACCAGAGGAATTCTATTGCATGACAGACCTTTCGGTTCCTTGTTTTGTATACAACACTGTTACAATTTTGGCTTCTGTGAGTATGTACTCTTGTTATCCCTTAATAAAGTGCTGTAGATAATGCACTAGGCATTTGCACCCTTTTTTAAATTTTGTTGTATTTTACATTGTTTGCATAATTGGGGCAGCACAGTGGCTAAGTGATTAGCTCTTCCGCCTGGCAGCACTAGGGTCGTTGGTTCGAATCCCAGCCACGGCACCACCTGCCTGGAGTTTACATGTTCTCCCTGTGCCTGCGTGGGTTTCCTCTGGGTACTCCGGTTTCCTCCCACACTCCCAAGGACATGCTGGTAGGTTAATTGGATCCTGTCTAAATTGTCCCTAGTATGTGTATGTACGAATGTAAGTTAGGGACCTTAGATTGTACGCCCCTTGAGGGTTAGGGATTGATGTGAATGTACAATATATATGTAAAGCGCTGCGTAAATTGACATTGCTATATAAATACCTGAAATAAATAAATAAATAAAATAATTGCCAGATTCTCCGGACTCAAGAGGGCTTCATCGTCTCTACCATCCAGTTCTGATTGTGCAGTGACAGCCAGCACGTGTAGCAGCCTGTTCAGTTTCTCTGGAATTGTTTAGCACTACAGTATCAAGTTACTATTCCTTTGTGCTATGTTGTTCTAGGCCTGAAAATCAATGGGCAGGCATAGATGGGACATCTACCATGACCTGTTAACATTCACAAGCTTCCACGGAAAGAGGAAGATTTTTATCCAAGGATTATGAATCAAAAACAAATAAAGCCACAGGGCAAAACATCAATCAGTGGCAGTTATTGTGTGTACAAAGGTTTAGAAATTCTTTTACAGGTAATTATACAGGAAAAATAAAGTGGGAGGTAAAATAAAATCATTAAATATATAAGATGTTATCACTCTAATTTAAAAATATGACAGATGCAGGATAAAAGAACACGCTCATTGTTGTGTCATGACTGATGGATTTGGTAACTGCCATCCCTTTGATGAAATCCCCCAAAAAACTGAAAATCACTGCAGCTCTTTTTTTTACCACCAGAACAATTAACAGTTCCAGAAGGCAAATAACATAGTTACATAGTTAGTCTGGCTGAAAAACACAAAAGTCCATCCAGTTCAACCATAGAAAAAAAAAGTTATAATCCTACACCCACAATCAGGGGCGGACTGACAACTCATGGGGTCCCTGGACAATAGGGGATCATGGGGCCCCTGTGTCCTTGCCCAAACTCAAAAAAGCCTATGAAAAAAGTACCAGGGGCATCTCATGGGGCCCCCTACTGACCCCGGGCCCTCGGGCAGTGCCCGAGTTTCCAAATGGTCAGTCTGCCCCTGCCCACAGTTGATCCAGAGGAAGGCAGCAAAAAACCAGCAAAGCACGATTCAATTTGCACCTGCTGGGAAAAAAAATCCTTCCTGGTCCCCAGAGAGGCAATCAGATATTCCGTGTTGGGAACTGTTGGTTATGAGAAGGGGGTCTTTGGTGTCCACTAGCCAAAAAAGTGCTACTAAAATCCAACTTGTCTGGTGCGAGGGGGATTCAAAAGGTCCTGGAGGCCTGTTCCAGAGTGTGTAAAAAAACGAGCAAAGTGAGGAACCCAGTGGGCCTATGCACAAAAAATCATCCATTTTTTGGATGATGAAATGAGCCTGAAGACCATTGCGCACCTTTCATTACACAAATATACTGAACTATTTAAAGCAGTAACAGGAGATAGAGTAGCCTATTAGAGGGGAACTAGAAAACTTTAATGCTCCTTCGCTTGAAGGCCAAAAATGTCAGTAGGCTGCGACCATATCCAGGCTTTCATAGGATGCTCTCGCCTTTCTGCCCTCATGAGACTGGGGATGTCTAGAGATACTGCAATAACAAACAAAACAGAGGGTGTACTGGCCTAGTGCGTTATCCTTAAAATACAGCTTTATTGTGTAGAAAGCAGGGTGGATAAAAATCAATGATTTTTTAAAAAAAAATAAAAAAAATCAGATTTAAATAAAAAAAAAAATCAGATTTAAATAAAAAAAAATCAGATTTTTTTGATTTAAATCGGATTTTTTAAAATAAAATGCTTTTTGAGGAAAAAATATATTACCATCCAAAGGTTATTCCATCATGAAAATAAAGATTAGTTTTTTTAATTATGTAGAATAAGGCTGTATATGTTTAATTGTTTTGGTAAATAAATTCCAATAATCCATTCACAATGTCATGCTCTTCCAGAGGTTTTTGTAAGATTATTGGGCAGTTTCTCTGCCTACAAGATATTATCACAGATGCTCGGTTTACTTTTGCAGTTCTCAAAACTGAATTTGACTCAGCGGAGATCACATGCCTCTTCTTCACAGCAAAAATGTTATAACATGAACAGAGTTAAGAAAAAGACCTTCATCCTAACTTCTACAAACCTATGAATACAGAATTAACCCCTTCAGTGCTAAGTTTCAAGAAGTTCAGTGAATAGAATAGAAACAATATTTTTCTGATTGTTTGGAGTGGAATAGATCTGCACAAGAAAAAAGTGAAACTAAGTGTGAGGAGGAAGGGGCTGACAGTCTAAGTTTCTTAAAATATATATATTTTGTTTAGCCAAATTAGTTAACAAACATGGATGTTTACGCAAATCACATATGCTGGAATATTATTGTTTCAGTTGAATAAATCTATTTAAATTGTTATTATTAAGGTAATGATTATTTTTCTCCTTCCTAAGTACAACAGAAAAGTTGTCCAAATATGAATGATTAACCTATTAAACTGGGGATAAAAAAACTAATATGAAAAGTTATTCTAAAAATCTTCATCTACTTGCATATTAAAGTTATACCAGCAAGAATTAGTCTTTATGTAGAAAACTAGGATTTACATCAAGCCTTACTGACTAGTGATTTAAATTGTGATTTAAATCGTGATTTAAATCAGTTTGATTTAAATCAAATCCACCCTGGTAGAAAGATAAGTATTATACTCACAAAGCACGCTAAAAATACAAGCTCATCGCATGGAAACAGCATAGTCCAATCTACAGATCATCAAAAGGTAACTATGTAAGCCTTTCTCAGCATGAGTGAATCAGCATGCACTCCCAAAATGGCAAGTACTGTCGTGGGTCTGCCAGCAATAGCCTTTCTTTTGCCCAGTTGGCTACCCTAAAGCTCCTTAACTGATGGCCGTCCCTTGAAAAGGATGGTCTGATGTCCAGAGCTGTGCCATAATCCACAACCTGATTTCCTTGTGATCTCAATGCACACCAGGATGCATGGCTTTTCTATGGCGAAATTAGTTGCCATACTGTAGCCACACTCAGCCACTATATACCCTATGAGTATCTCTTATTATATCCATTTGGCAGGAAGAATCCAAACAATTTTGAGGCACTTTTTTACCTTTTGCACTGGTCAAAATTGCCAATGCCAGGAACCAATTGGAAGAAGTCCACAGAATGAAGTGTCACCTGTGCTTACCCTTCTCCAGGGGTAAGAGTGAGAATATTTCAGGGTATTCCCTTTTCCAAATCGTTTACTTTACATGTTGTTTCAAGCATACTCTAAGGGGGCCCTCAAAACAAATGTATACATGTCCCTTTGCTGAACCTAATGAACCTTGTCTTTCTGCATTTCTGTTGCCAAAGCTGTTCCACGGCAGCTGCTGATACCATGTTCCCCATCTGCCTGAACCTCATTCCACCCACCCAGTCCGTAAGGTGCCCTGTGCAGGCACCGCCACCTATACTGAAGCCTGACCTCTCCATAAAAGTGCTCTCAACACAGCAGAACATTGTAACAAGGGTGAGGACCCACAAAACTCCACCATGCCTGGCAAAATACCCACCAGGCCGCTGTGTGCTCCAAACTGTTGGTAAACTGTGGTACTCACTAGACTGCCTCAGCACCAAAATGCTCCATACTCTTGCCACCATAAAGGGGCTCAGTTGAGCTGTCATCACTACTGATCTCACCAGATTCCACCAATGATTCCTACTGCTCTGAAGGTGTGTGGGCCCTCCAATGCACTGAAGTCAGCTGCAATGGCAGGGGTGTGCAGAAAGCAAGTTGCTGGTGGATCACTAATGATGCTCCCTTATCGATTCCAGACCCGTGGGGCAGGGTGTGAGAAGGGCTAAGAATCTCAGGATTCAGGATGCCTAGACCTCCTAGCACATATTGGAACAGGGGGCTATTTATGGTCCTCCCTAAACCCTCATAACTTCAGGCAGATGCGTCCTGGTGCCATTGTGC